CGTCTGAACCTCGGGCACGAGCCTTGTGCCACCTTGCGGCTCAACGTGGACTCCTCGCAAAGGTGCATCCCCGCCCAAATGGTCTGTGCCCACATCGCGCTGCTTGTCAAGGGCCTATAAAGAACAGAAGGACACCCTCCTTGTTGCTTGAATTTGTTCAAGGAAAACCAAGCCCCAACAAACAAATGGCGGTGCAAGCGGGGGGCAATCCTGCGCACAAATGCAACATCAACCCCAATAAACACCTGCGCGCTTCCACATGGATCGGACCTGGCCAACACAACTTGCTCTAACCTGTTGGACGCCCCTCTCGTTCCTTTTGGGTGATTTTTTCTGCCACTCTTACGCCCTGCCCCACAATCACAGACCTGGTCAAAGGGTAACATATATACGGAGCATTGTGTCCAAAATCATTCGGCACCAGGTACGGAGAAAGACAAACAAACTTTGTAAGGGCCTCCAATTGGGTCTTGTGACAAGGCATCCACATTTCTTAAAACTTGTGGCTGGCTCCACTGCATTAACACTCTACAATTACCATTAACTCCAAGAATACTCAAAGGAGACCAGATAGAACGCTCAAATGGCTTTACCATTGATTCACTTGAGGGAACCACGCAGAATGGAGGCCTTGATAGACCCCGTTTCGGTGTTTGTATGTTCTTGGGAATGTCCATCCCAAAACAGAAGTCATGGCCCTTGCCCCGCTAGAAACACGCTTTGACTTCATAAGTCTGAGGCCACATCCCACTGTGCCAAGAGGCCACATCAAAGTCGAAGAGGCCTTTGGTGGGTGCAGGCGGCTTGGCAGCCTTTGCTGCCTGGCAAACGGACATCCTTTTGCAAAACTTAGGCCAAAATCCCAGAGGAAACAACACATTTCTGTCTGGCTTGGCCTGGCACATCAAATTGATGTCACTGATGTTAAGATCAAATATCAAGGAACTGCAACGTTGCTTCACATCACTCGCACGTGTCACGCGTTGAACATACTGCACAACGGCATGTAACAGGAATAAAACATATTGTTGAGCTGTGGCTCTCCGTGATGGTATGGACATGTTGCGCATATCTTCGTCTATCATTAGACAGCGCTTCCGAATAATTTAGGTGTATTTCAATGTCAGAGCGGGCATGCTAGTTCGACAACAGTTATTCAAGTTGTTGTTGTTTGCACATTCAATGATTCATGCAAGAAGCCAGACCTTTCGTGCAATTAAATCAAGGAGAACACCCCACAGCATCAGCCAACGACAAACAACAAGGCTGCCGGTAGCCCTCGGCTAAAATACTTGTCCAGCAATTTGAAACAGGCCCGAGGAGTATCCACAGCAGCCCGGGAACCTCGCCGGTGCCTTGCCCCGGCTCCAACACCCCATAGCGGTCGCCGTGCGTGGGGGCCAACAAACTCATAAACTGCAATAGCTCGGTTGCTGCTCATCTGAGTGCGGCTATCTCTGCAAGACTTGATTAGTAGACAGTAATTGTGAAGGCACTCAAAGTCACACAGACATATTATGCAACTAGTTGCGCGGCCACATTGCAAAACATGTCCATTCAATCGGATCACATTATCCGTCTCAAGCATTTCTGCGTGATTTACAATCGATGCTGTCTCGTGAAAGAGAACAAACAATGTGCCTCACTGGTCGTTGCCTTGGCCAGGTGCCTTGGCCAGGTGCCTTGAGCTATGTGAATGAGCCCTTTGGCTCAACAGGCCAAAGAGGACAATTTGGTGCATGCACCTTTGACTACTGAGCACCCGGCCGTGTTGAACAATAACTTAAACACAATCTCGAAATCAGCAGCGTTCATTTCACAAAAAACTCACTACTTTACAAAACTCTCACCACTTATACTCACCACGTACTCACCACTTCAAACATAATTTACAAGCTCACCACTTACTGGTTGCGGCAGCTTTCACAACTACGGTCCAAAGCCCTAGAGTGAAGCACGCCCCTCATGCGAGCTACAGTCCATAGTCGAGGAATTTTGCTTTCCACTGACATAATAATTCGCTACCTCATCCCCTTTCAAGATGGTGAACACTGGCCATGTCTCAATGTGAACTTCCATTTGGACAAAACAGACATTTTGTACAGCGACAGATTCGCTTTGTAACCCATAGAGCAATAATAAGTATAAAGCAAATGGACGCTATTTTGCTCTGGGCACTGGGGGCGTCTGCTTCTTCTGCTGCAGAAGGCCAGTCAAAGGATCAGCCATCCCGCAGCAGGGCTGGCATTCAGAGGCCACACAAAACTCGAGCAGCCTAAGTGGGTATATCCGGTAAATTCAACTTGGGACCCCCTCTCAAACATGGCTGGACAAATGAAGATGACAACTCAAGTTCACACCCATCTCTGTATTCCTGAGAAACAGAACCAACCACATTAGTCGTGGGGGGTTTCTTCATCTCTGAGTGCTGCGCTCTGCAAGTCCTATGATCAAACTCAAAGCAAGTCACGCGGTTTGGCGCCCGCTGCTTGACAATGGCGATGATGATCCGTGGATGTGCTGAAGATGCATAGCGAGAGTTGCCAACTTGCATGTCAAAGGACTGCTGAGCCGATCCAGCAGAATAGAATCACAGGCGTGCCTGGCCAAAAGTGACGAAGCACCTGGCTGCAACTCGCTCAACAACAAACATTAGACAATCCTTCAACGAGTGATGCGTGCTATGTTTTCACATATGTTGAATTTCTTGTATGGATTGAGGCGTGCAAACTTGGAAAACATGTTGGGGAGAAGTCGCCCGCCTCCTCAGCATAGAAACCAGCCGAAAAGCAACACTCAGCATGACAAGTTGTTCGATCATGGTCTTTCTGGCAGATTTTCTTGACATGGAACCTATTCTAGGCCAATCATGTTGCTTATTTGAGCCCATCATAGGTTCTGTGTTTGTGAAATCGCACAAAACCACATTCCTCATATGCGATCATAATTACCGGTCTTCTGTCCACCAAAAAAGCCAACCACGACAAGCTTTTAACATAGCACCCCCAGGCCAACTCCACAGAGAGATTCTATGGCGCATGCTGTCATTTTATAGATCCGAATCTCCAAAGTTCCCCGTTAAAACACGTTCTCCCTCACACATGGCACAAAACCCCAAACAAGACCCTACTCCTCTACAGGCTAATCACCAAAAGGGGTTTCGCCCAAAGGGAGGCGCCTCTGCACAGAAGGCCTTGTGGGGTTCCCATGCTCATGGACAATGAGGACTTCCCACGGAGACAAAACAAAATGGTCTTGAGCGCTTCAAGCTGTCCCGACGGAACATGGTGCAATGCCAGCTTCCCTGGAATCGTGGAATTGCCCTTCAAAACCTCGGTGATGGGTCCCACCATTCCTGAAATTGGAAATGCAACAAACAACAACTTTGTTGCCAAAGAAATATCATATAGTACGGAAGCTGTCCGGATATTGAACCATGGTTGCAAGACGGGAGCTCATTGACATAGAACTTGTCAGCAGCAAAAGAAATGCCTTTTGTTTTCATGCAAACTAATTACGCCATTCAATGGCTCATTGACGTAGAGGCCCTGCAGGGAGCCTCACACACGAATTTCTTGCGCTCAACATTTAGAACTCATGAAGTTCTGTTGCATTGTGATTTTGAGGGCAGTATGCGGGTGCCTGCGCCGCCTGCCCCCCGCCCCCCCCGCGGAACAACGCCACTGCACTAGAGATGACCGACCGAGACCCTGCACTAAACAGGCTGGCTGGGTCCGGCCTGTTCGGCCACGAATCAACTCTCTTGATCTTGATCTGGACTAGATTGTGCAGTTACTTCAGCCCGACCCTGGCCAAACACACCGAAACCATTTTGTCCAGTATGCAGGGAAGGTCAACCAAGCCAACCCAAAACGAGTCGAAAAATCAAAGCGAAGCTACCAACCAAACCAACAGGAAACATGTTTACGACGAGCTTCAGCGACACCAAACCTATGGAGCCGCCCCTTTTGTGTCGCCCTTCGCTTCTGGAAGATTTAGCGCTCGCGGCGTAAGTAACCAATCAGCTCACTGGGCATCGGCCTCGACCATTGACCCAGTGTCTAGCGTGCTTCATTGTCCAACACCAAGGCACCTGCTTGATGGATCGAACTGCAAGGAGGTTGTCTAGAAACAAAGGTTAGGACAAAGACTGTCCGGTTGCCGTGAGCATGTCTTAAGAAATTCTGCCCACAGGAGCTGGCATCTGTCTTTACATTTTACGCACCAACGATTTCTTACTCACTACATGCAGTCGCTTGAGATTGCTTCAGTTCCAGCTGGCTCGCTGCACACTCTCGCAATAATTGTGGCCTTCGCAGTCGGCAAGCGGGATGAGCACATGAATACGCAAAGTTAACATATTTATGTACATATATATATATTTATTTATTTATATTTAACATATATTTGTATATACAGGTACATAAAATCAATATGGCAGCTCGACTCTAAGCTGCGTCCTACTAAAAGACAACTCGTTCCAAGTTGGCAACCCAAACTTCGAACCTAGCCCAGGATTCGGCGTGCGCCGCTCCAAAACCCGTTGGCCAGGCGACAGCAGGCCTTTCCCAAAGCAGCAGCTCCGAGCCCGCAAGCTTAGCCAGTTCACGCTTCATGCTTCATGCTTCACGCAGCAAGCCAGGCCAGCTGCCGCAGCGTCGCTCAACCGCAACTCAGATCTGGCACCAAGTGCCATCACGCAGCTGGCCAGCGTTTGTACTCCAGCCCGCCAGCCAACCCTTAGCTGCGAGCCGCTTCAGCAGCACAGCGAGCCCGGCGTGAACATCTGCAGCCCGCCTGCCGGGCCGCAGCCCAGTACCTCCTCATCTCGTTGGTGTGCCCCCGCCGCTCGAGTGCAAGTTCCTGGCAGTAGCTTTGCGCTGCTCAGTCTAGCCCTGGCATCATTTATCAAGCCCGCGTTGCTCTTGTGGTTCTTTTTAGCCTGGCCGAGGCGGGCAGCGCGCAGCATGTCTCATAAGTCTAGCTCCCTGTCTGTGAAAGCCTGACATGTAGGTAGGTGAGAAGCCAGGCACCCTCCCAAGTGGTTGGTGTCATGTTGGTTCCCCGTGCTCAAAGGATCCTGAGCTCCTTTTGTGACACAGACACACATGCAATCGGCAATGAATAAAGCCCAAGAGGGAGGTTTTAGACTGCGGGAAGGACACTGCAATCGGCAATGAATAAAGCCTAAGAGGAGGGGTTTTAGACTTTGGGAAAAACACTGCAATCGGCCATGAATAAAGAGACTTTGGGAAGGACACTGCAATCGGCAATGACTAAAGCCTAAGAGGGAGGTTTTAGACTTTGGGAAGGACACTGCAATCCGCAATGAATAAAGCCTAAGAGGGAGGTTTTAGACTTTGGGAAGGACACTGCAATCGGCAATGAAAAAAGCCTAAGAGGGAGGCTTTAGACTTTGGGAAGGACACTGCAATCGGCAATGACTAAAGCCTAAGAGGGAGTTTAGACTTTGGGAAGGACACTGCAATCGGCAATGACTAAAGCCTAAGAGGGAGGATTTAGACTTTGGAAAGGACACTGCAATCCGCAATGAATAAAGCCTAAGAGGGAGGCATTAGACTTTGGGAAGGACACTGCAATCGGCAATGAGTAAAGCCTAAGAGGGACTGCAATCGGCAAGGAATAAATACAGCCTAAGAGAGATTTTGGACTTTGGGAAGGACACTGCCCTTACCCATCTGCTAAGGCTAGGCCCTTCAAGAGGAAACTGTCCAAACCAGAAACCTCCAGCAAGTGGCGTGAGCGGCTCGAGGAGAGCCAGTTGCAAAGCCACCAGCTCTCCCATCTCCGCCAGGGTCAGATACCTTGCAGCCGACTTGCTCCGGTGCCTAAACACCCCTTTCCAAGCAAAGCGTCTTTCGACTCCCTCGCTTGAAATGTTCACGAACCCCTAAGACCGGCTTCTAAGCACCCCAAGGGGACACGTGTGGCAGGCCTCTTGCAGCCAGGCTGCTGAACGTACCTTGGTGCCGCTTCAATCGAAAGCCACCATCACTGCCCGTTCGCTCTACGTGATTTCACACAGGCAGGTGCCGTAGCAATGTCACTTAGGCCCAGGAATGGGCTCTGATAGCAAAATAACAATACCTATCCAACTTGGCAAGCATCCAGAAGTCCATGCAGAGGTATCATTGATATTGGTGTTTACAATCAGTTGAGGTGATCTTGAAACCATTGCATCCAACATACTGCCAATAGTCTCGCGCTGCGCCAGTGCACAGTATGTACCAAGTCGGATAGCAGTTAAACCCTAGTTCACTTCCTGGTCTCAGCACGGTAGTTTATACAACTTTCCTTGCACATGACTGATCTGGAGGCCCCAACATCAAGTATCTATTTCGGAGTTCAGCTTCAACACTGGAGACAACAAGGAATGTTCGCTTCAAACCCAGCCACGTGCTAATTACTGATTTATGGCTGCATGGTTTTCTCTTTGCATTGCAGTTTGGTTTCGGATCCATCATGCCATTAAAATTACTTCTGTGCCACGCTCTGCGAGCCGTCTTCGAGAAAAAAAAACAGTCCTGCAAGATGATCCGGACATTTTGCAGGACTTCCCAAGAGTCAAGGTGGGCATCAAGCCAGGTGATTCTGAGACGCAGCTCTTTTGCAAGATGCTTGCTGAGTCCCTTCGCAACAAATGCGCCAATTTGAGAGATCACTTCGCTGGGAGCTCGTGTTCCTTGTCCCAAATAGCACAAGCGGCAACCAAACATGTTGCATCACACGTCATAATGAAGCACTCAACGCATCCCACACACTCGATTTAAGCAACTTTGGGATAATTCAGAGTAAAGGCAGGTAAATCTTGCGTACATGATTGCTCTGGTTTCTTTCAGTGCCTCCCTGATGTGGGATCATAGTGCCTCATGATCACCTCGAACAATGAACTATACAGTGCGAAGCTCACCGGGAGACTCGAACTTGCTTCGGCGATGTTTACTGCATCTCACTGCGCCCCCCGGAAACTTGTGGTTTTCTTCTATGGGCCAAACATCAGAAAATATTGTCAAAACTCTTCTCATCTACAGAACAAACAACTCAGCCTGCGTGTTTGTACGGTTTCCCTCAATGTAGACTTGGATGTTCAACCCACGTAGTAAGTAGAGCACCCACAAAAAAAGTCAACCCCCCCTCCCCCTCCAAACCACAACCAAAAAAGCGCAACTTGAGCCCCGGCCCCCGGCCACCGCTTCCCCCCGGGCCCAACTCAGCCCCCTGACCCCCCCCAAACCCCCCGCCTGGGGTAGAACTTCAGGGCGTTGGGCGGCAGCTTCGCCGGCTCCGCGAGGCCGTGCAGCTGCACCAAGAGCTCCAGCTGCGGGCGGCAAATCCGCGCCCGCGGTGACGGGCGGGGGGGGTGACGGGGGGGTGGGGAGTGCCGGGGTGGTTTTGGGCGTTCCGCTTGGTGGACTGTTTGTATGTCTCTGTTGGGTAGTTTCATGAAAGCAACTGTAGGGGGACAACTGGACAAGAGGCCTCCTTTTCGTGGGAGAGGGGGTTCGGTTGGAACGACCCATATCCATCACCCGTCAGCTCCCAAAAGCCCAAGGGAAGGGCAGACCTCAAGGGAAGGGGAGGCCTTGGGGAGGCGACCAAAAAGCATGGAGTAACTTGCCAAACTGAGGGAACGACAGAAATGCGGCCCGTGTCGGGCATGCAAAAGGCTGCTTCACGCCCATCTGCCAAACACCGCAAGTCCGCCTGTTGAGGGCCCCATTTGCCGAAACCGAAGTGCTTGCCTATGGGCCACGCATGCTCACGCAAATCCATGCTGCAGGGTTGTCCTTTCCAAGCGCCCTACAATTCATGGGAGAGAAGCCTGAATACGACATTGAGACCACAAACCGTGCCGTGTCTGAGGCAAGACAATTTGAATCCCGCGGCTGCTCGCCGATCCCGGATGCGCCTCTCCCTTAGCAGCATGCAGCACCTTGCCCAAACGGCCAGCAAAGGTGGCGTTGTCGCCTTGGGCGGTCGAACGTATCCCATCAGCGAGGCTTGATCTTAAGAACGCTTCTCCAAATCACGCCAGGAATGGGCACGGAGAGGTAAACGAGACATGTTCAGCGACAGGTGGTCTTACCAAACTAAGTCTTCTCGTGAACGGCAAACAAAACAATTCCACTGGCTCGCTTGCAGACCCCAGATGTTTGTTTCAGTAAAATGGCTTTAAATGGCCCTAAAGGACTCTAGACCCCCACATGTCAGTCAGCCGATGCTGAAATGTGCATGTCTGTCACCCATTTGAATAACTACTCTTTTGTTTGTATATACTTATAGGAAAAAGAGATAGGCGTCCCCATATGTGAAACATCTGGTATAGCCCTCTTGTTTCACCAAGACCCGGCCAAAACGACCAAAACCGTCAGGCGCAGGCGCAGGTGCTGTCCACCTCCACGTAAGTGCCGGGCTCCAAAGCTTTAAAGATCTCCCCCTGAGACAAAATCTGGCGAGTTTCAATCAATTCCCTCATCGGGGTCCTGAGACAAACCCAAGTGGCTGTGAACTTGTCCCAGGGGTTCAAAACCCACCAGAAGGACATCAAAAGGGAATCTGCCATTTTTGTTGGGGTCTGACACATACATGGCTACTTTGAATGGGGAACCAAAAGGGACATCAAAAGAAGAACAACACAGCATTTTGTGTGGGTGGGGGGAAGGAATGCCCTTGCGGTGCCAAGTGGACATAGGTCCCCACCGAATTCTCATGAATGGGTTTGTGATCTTTGGAGGGTGATTGGCTTTGAAGGGGAATTCGAAAGGGACACCACATTCTTGCTGGTCCAAATGCGTATTTGACACACACACACACACACACACACGCATGGCCATGTATTTTAATGAGGAATACCCTAAGTGGTTGGTGGAGGTTGGTGGACATAGATTTCCCACATGATGTCCACCAGAGGGTCCCCAGCTCAAATTCCCAAATCAACCTGGAACCCCTCCAAACAAATATAGAGGAAAGCCGGACACCCTCTTGGGGAACCCCTGTGTTTGGTTCCATGTAGTTGGTCTTCAAAACTCTTGCGAGCTTTGGACCACCCTTGCTACATTACAAAAGCTGACATTGCTGACCTTGTTGGTGGCTGGACAATTGGTCTGGTTTGGGGGTCAAATTTATGCAACTGAATGCTGCGTTGGGAATCGCTGGGTCTATGGCAAGGACGGGCCAAAGCCATGTTCGGGATGCGCAACCGTTGCAAAGCAGTGCCGTGCCAAGTGTGGCCATGTAAACACTCACAAGCAACGAATTGTCATTACCTCCCATCATGTTCATGCTCAGCACAAGTTGGTGAAACACGGCCCGTCAAACAGCCCCGAGATGTTGGTGTTTTGGGGACTGTTTCTGCTTTCCACTTGAAGATTTGAAAGCAGGGCTGTGGGAAATGACCACTTGTTCAAGCCTTAGGACCGCATGCAAAAGGTGTGCACCTTCGAACCCGGCGTCAAATTGTTATGGTGTGTCTGTTGTTTGAGGGTACCATGTTTGAGCTGGTTTCAAAGGACACTAGAAAGAAAACCACTAATTGGGCGGGTCCCCCAAACGAGAACAAACCCATACCAGTACGAACAATAACAATCAAGGATCTGATTCATCCTGTGCCTTGCTACAAATTTGGAGCGTGTCCGCTCTCAATGTTCCACACCCAGGTGATTTGTGTACTTGCTCGCCTTGTGTAGTCTTGTTCGATCAACCCTTGATGTCACGGGCATTGAATTGAGGATTCGGCCTAATTTCAGTCGTACACGCAGAAGGCTGACCTTGCTTTCCTCAGACCACAAAGAACTTTGTCACGTACACACAGAAAGAGCTAGGGTTGAGTGAAGGCTGTGTCTCAAAGAATTGATTCACCAGGGCTCTGTTTTCTCAAGGGTTCCATTTTCCCTCGGCCGTCTCTCAAATCTCTTCACCAGAGCTTTGTTTTCCAGAAACAGCGAGGTTTGAGTTCACCAAACCTTGACCAAACCTGCTTTCCAGGGCATCATCACACCTTTGCTTCACCGCTCTGCTTCCCCAACAAAGCCCTGTACATCCCTGTACATCCCTGTACATCCCTGTACCAAAAAAACAACAAACAACAGATGAACACACAGCGGGGCCCATCTGTGCCACGGTGCTCGGAAGTAGGAGGCGATGGACTGCAAGCCGTCCTCCAGAAAACCAAAAAGGTGAAAACAATTGAAACCACATGGCTGTGGGTCAAACAACTGTACCAAAATAGAACCCTGGCAAGTGGAAACATGGACCAAAACCTGCATAACCCCTCTTGCTTAATTTTGAGCCACACCCACATGGCTCTGTCCCTTTGTTAGAGCTAACCGACGCCAAGAGGGGAAAACCGTTAAAGCCTCTCGTGTTTTGCGGGTCCGATTTCGATTCCTTCCAACAAGAAAGGACACTGCCACGTCTCGTTGTGTGTTTCGAGAGTCTAATTGCAACATGGACACCCCCCCCCCCCGACCCCAAGCTGACTTTCTATGGATGAGATGAGCCTCATTGGCGCCGGCTTCCCTCTGGGAATTGACGGCCCTCTCATCCGTGACAATGGTTTTGAAAGCAAACCCCAATGAGAATGGGTTTGAACGAAAACCAAAAGCAAGGCAAACATTCAATGGCATTTGCCCAAGACTCAATAGGCGAAGAGTTCAAACAAGACCAGAACCCCAGCTCACTTGCCCAAAGGACCCATCAATAAAAGGTTAACCTTTTGGGACCCCTACTAAAAATAGACCAAACAGGGACAACCAAAAGGTCAAAAGGTCGGCTTTGAACAACTGAGCCAGTTTCAGAATGAGGACCGTACAAATGTCAGGATCCTATTAGTAGAGGGGAGTTCGCGAATGAACTAGGGATATATGGCTGTGGGTCACAACCCTGTGCAACTAGTGAACATCAAAATAGGTGGTACATGGGTGTTCATCCGCCCCACTCGCCCCACTTTGAGGCCGGTTCCCCAAAACCCGATGCCAAGACGTGTCCTTCCAGGACTGGACAGTATCCACCGCCTCCTCTGAGGGCGAGCGCAGACGCAGCCAGGAGTTCGCCTTGCTGTCCACGAAGCAGGGCAAAGGCGTGGCCGTGATGTAACCTCAGCTGCCTCTTTCCGCCCCAAGAGCTGTAAGTCTCATTTTCTAAGAAGATTGGACAAGCAAACATGCTTACCCTTTTTGTTTCTTCTCTTTTTTTTAACCACTATATAACTAGCGTGGTCTTCCCAACAAGTTCAAAGCCCAGGAACTCCGGGAGTGAAGTTGTCGAGTTATGGGGTCTCTGCCCAGGCGCTAGTTTGGGAAAACTCTCAGGCAGGGTTCCGGTGGGTTCCAGGGGTTTTCTTCTTGGGTTTATTGTTTGATCGCGTTGTTCCGCACTGCCAGCGCGCTAAGCAGAGAAAGGCTCCGGATATTCTGGGCATGCTGGCTTTCTATGAAGCTTCTTGAATGTTCAGCCAACTTAGGTTATAACCATCAATAGGGACGATCACCCCACTTACCGAAGTTGTCACCATGGTCAAGACCTACATACCTGACGTTGCTTGAACATCCGAGTAAGGCAGAGGCTAGGGGCTAGCTTTGGCCATGGCCAGCTTTGCAACCTTGGGTTTCCAAGCACAAAGGCAAGCAAGTGGCGCAAAACAAACTAATAAGTTTGTTCCAGATCCAATCTTGCGTTTCAGTCACTTTCCCAGCACACTGCTAGGTACATGGCCCTCAAGAGGTCAACCGACAAACCATGAGAGAACTTCTCTAGCCGAGCAATCGGCTTCCGAAGGAGGAAGTTGCGGGTCGAATTTGGCCGGGATGGACAGAGAGCTCATACCTCATGTCAACCCCTAAGAAACATGGGACATTTGTCATGCCGGGACTGCAACTTTATGAAGTTACGGTTGCTGTGTCTCAAGTCCTGTGCAGTCTTGGTCGGCGGGTTTGCAATCCAGGTCCCCTACGTGTTTAGAGACTCAACCGCAGCTACGCAAAAAATGCTGCGTGTATCTCAAGCAAGCTGGCCAACACTGAGGCCGACATCACGGGGAGGGCTTCCTTTTCGGGTTTGGTTTCAAGCAAGCCCGGTCTCGTGGGTTGGGTTTGAGGTTGGTTTGGGGTGCGTTTATGATTGGCTTGAGATTGATATTTAGGCTTGGCTAGGTTTGGCTCAGGGCGGGCCTAGGGTTGGTTTGCGTTGGGTGTAGGGTGGGCTTAAGTTGTTTCAGGTCGAGTTTAGGGTGGGTTTTTGGTTGGCTTACCCTGAAAACAGCCTCATATTTGGGGACAAACCCAGCTCGACTTGACTGGATCACGACTGCTGCAAGTGTGGCATGTACTGGCCCCTTCATTCGTCAAGCCCGAAATGAGACCAGCGTTTGCATGCAAAGCAGACCTCGGGAATACGGAACTGCAACAGTGAAGCATGGACCCATGAGACCATGCTTGTGCTTGCCCTTGTCTTAGACAGCTGCGCGGCGAGTGCGAGATCCGCGGCCTGGACTGTTCAACCTTGCTATTTCTGGCTTGTGAACCTGAGCATGTAGCTTATGGTGCCTTGACAAACTTGGCGCGGCACATCTGCGATCAGGCGGATGACTTTTGGAGAGGCAGACATTAAAGAAGATCGCTGCGGCCGGTGGTGGGCACTGGGAAGAGATGTATGTTGACGCGGTCTCATGCTGCTGGCCCTGTGTCGTGGGCCCTACCTGCACCTGCCCTTTCGTGGCGATGTTGTTGCCGTCCTTGCTTGTGCCCACAAGCTGTCCATTGGGACTGCAAACCAACTAACCAACTGGGCTGCTCATCGAGTTCCCCAGCAGGGCGTTGTTGAACTTCTGAGTAGGGGCAATAGAATAAATCCTTGCGTTTCGGGGCTAGGACATTACAAACCGTGTTCTCCCATGATCATGACTCGAATTGGTTTGAAGCACTCAACGTTCCCATTCCAAATATTTAGGCCCTAGGCCCTTATAACATGCGCAAATGCTGCAAACACTTGGGCAGTCAATGGGAATGGGATACTTTAAGCACTTGTCAAATCGTCAGCTGCAGTGTATGTGACTGGGTGCCTGCTGACAAGGTTGCGTGTTTCACTGTGTTTCTGTTCACATCGAAGCCTCAGGATTGGTGCGGGAACGTGTGACAACCCTTTTGAACATCGATGCATTCGCATGCAACTGAACGCTCGCATGCAAAGTAGTCGCGAAACACAACACCTTGATCGTTCGGACAGGGGATATGATGACTCTTCCTTGACCTAGCTTGTCGCGCTGACTTGCCAAAAATGCTCGACAACCTGTGCCCCCTTCCCACAATCAAGGCGCACACCCCTCCGCCCCGGTCCGCCGCAGCCCTTCACGAAACGAGGGCCACTGACTTGCCAGAGTCCCAGGCTTAACTTCCCAACATGAGGGCCCTGGGCACTGTGGCCCCTTTCACAATTGCCATATTGTTGGAAGCACAATGCCGGCCGCTGCGATTTCTGGTCCGGAAGTTTGCCTAGCTTCAACTACAAGCACCTCAAATTTGCTTGTCCCTGCCCAAATAAGGAACCATCACTGATGGGGTCCTTTCCACGTCAGCTTTTGCCTCCGACTCAACATGACACTGATATGTTCTGCATGTTGAGAATATTTTGGAACTTTGGACTTTACGCCAAGAAAAGTCCCTGATGGAACCTCCGGACCCTTTAATGATTTGTTGTAGTCGAGATTGTTGGGAAGTCGACAGTTGGCCGACTCCCGCCCGCAGATCACTGCGTCCATTGGGACATCCCAAAATTCACCGCGGTGGTGAAGAACCCCCGCGGTTTTTGTCAAACACCCCGTCCAAATGCAGCCACTTGCCCCTCACTCGCTCCGAGCTGCCCAGATGGCTTTGGTAGAAGCACCTCAAGTGCCGGATCTCTGGCAAAGATGTGAACTTGGCGTCGGAGGGCTCGAAGTTCAAGTAATCCGGATGCAGGACAAAGGTCCTTAAGTCGCTCCCTCAAAGGGATGCAGTTAGGGCTTGCCAATTCAATGCTCGTTGGATCTCCAGGATTTCCTTGTGTTGATGAAATGAAATAGCCACGTCCAACAACCTCGTTCCGTGCGGTGGATTTGATGATGAACATGTGTAGGAACAAATGCATTGGCCTTGAAACAAATATGCCATTTGCTGAGAATCAAACGAACAACAGTGGTGATGCCTTGTTGTGTCAGAGATTACATCCTAGAACTCTCATGCATTCCTTAAATGGTGTCGCCGGAGATACCGCGACCCACCCTGCGAATGGGCAGAAGAGCTTCAGCAAATCAGTCAAGTGAAGAGCTGCATGCTTTTTCAGTTCATATCCTGAGCTGTTTTGACTTTCTTGCCCAACTGTCGGTAGACAAATCCCGCTGTGTATGCACACTATCAGTGGTCAACGTCAAGCTCTGTCAAATCCAAGAGGCATGTCAAGTATCACAAGCATATGGATCGGATGGGAAATGTGAGTTGCTGGATACAAAGTCCAACTTTTATGGACCCCCCAAAGGGGCCTGGGAAAGTCTACAGTCACAGACATATTGGCACGGAAACAGCGCCGCTTCCTTCCGGTCTCGAAAAAGGCGGTGTTGCTTAGCCAAGAGTGTCAAAGGCAGAACGCCCGAATCAGTCTCGTTTGCCAATGCCTCAGTGTTGTTATAAGTGTTTTAATCGGAATACATGGTTGCCGGGGCAGCCCAGCCTGCAAAATGCAACTTCCAAGAATTCGCGTAGCCCTGTACTACCGAATTCTCCGGCCTACAAAGACACCCACAAACTGCATCCTTTTAAGGGCCGCTCTGCCAAAACCTCTTAGCTACCTCCAAGTTTCTGCTGCGCGTGGTAGGGCGTCATGAGGTAGCAGGGAGTGATGAAGTAGTCCTTTGGACAAGCGCAAGTCCAACGGAGCCGTGGCAATGCCGCCAATGGCCAAGTTTGCCCACTACGACACCAGTAGTTTCAGCAAGATGTCTCAATCCATGTTGATTCGGACCGATTCACATGGAACAACAAGACAATGATGATGACATACCGCGATTCCGTGTTTGATTGAACCCGGAAAGCTGAAAGCGACAAGGTCACTGCTAAAGAGGGGGCGGCTGTTTTATCGAGTTGCCAGGTTGCTCCAAATGATGCTTCGGGTGCTGTGACGGTTGCTGGCAGTACCTGTTTTGCGAAGCTGGATGCTGTGGTGGGTGCTGTTTTAGATGCTGGTGAGGGTGCTGTTTGGTCTCCTCAAAGTGCCGCAGTGGTTGCTGGCGGTGCTTGCGTGGCCATGCAGTCAGGGTGCTGGTCAGGGTGATGTTGTGGGTGGATCCTGAACAATCTCAAGCCAACTGCTCCTGTCCTCCCATGATTTGACAAAGAAAGATAGATATTAAGCCCAACCGCCACTGAATTGACGGCTCTTCCCAAATCAACCGACCAACCAGCCAATCACCCAACCAACCAACCAACCCAACCCAACCCAACCCAACCCAACCAAACCAAACCAAACCAAACCCAACCCACCCGACCCAACGCAAATCAAACAAAACCCAACCCAACCCAACCCAACCCAACCCCAACCAACCCAACCCAACCCAACCCAACCCACCCGACCCAACCAAACCAACCAAACCCAACTCAACCCAACCAACCACTCACCCAGCCCAGCGCGCGACTGAGCCAAGGCTCCAGGGGCAGCTCCTTGCCGTGTCGCAAGGCCTTGCTCCGACTGCGGCAGAAGGTGCCATACGCGGGCCCGCACAGATCGATGTGCACCTGAAGGTGTTTTTTTGGGGGGGACGCCCGGGAAATATGCGAACCCGAAACCGCCGCAGTTTGTTGTGTGGTTTGCAGTTGTTGTTTTAAAAAAAAAAAACACCACACACACACATGCCCAAAACAGGAACAGCCAACCTCGCGACGCAGAAGGCCGAGAAGCGTGGGCTCTGAGCAAGGCAAGAACAGGCAGTATGGCTATGAAGCAAATAGCAAGCTGAAGCACGTTATCCTGCATGTGCTGGCCTTCAATATAGCTATGGTGTCTTGTGTCGTAAATGTTGCTCGCTGCGACTTTGAGCTGGTCACTGAATTGATGATGCTTACCGCGTTTGTCTGTTACTCTGCCTCCCTACTATCTTCCGATGTTTGCCAGCATACACCGTCGACCTGTATCTGCCGGTCTCTGTCGCCTGGCTGTGTGCGTGTGTGTCTGGTTTCTGAGCCTGTGCCTCTCTACGTGTATCTGCTTGAAGCGCTCAATCCTACGAAACTTTCTTCACAAACGGAACTTTGAACTGGTTTTCTTTATTCGTGTAGCGCATGGCTCACCCATGAAGGATGCAGGTCATTTGCCACCTTGTCTATTGTGCGGTCACTGATATAAGCTATGAGGCGAGCATCATAAGGCTGGTTTGATATGGTCAGCATGCAAGCATCAAATTGGGTCGAGTCAAGATCTGAAGTTTGTGCATCTCAAACAAGTGCAGGTTGGCTAAGGAAAAGAACCATCTTAAGCATGCTTGCACATGCAGTGCACGTCTTGGGCACCCCTGAGTAGCAGGTCTCACACTGCGAGCTGCGCGTCGTTGTGGCGAGTTGTTGCGCAAGTCCTCATCTTTGTGCCTTTGGGAAGACGACTACTGCCTGACTTTGCAGGACAGCTGAAGGGCAATGTGATCGCGATTTCTTCTTTTGGGGCGTTCCATGATGCCAGCGAAAACACCTGCATGGACGGGTCCCAACATGCGAGCAAACGACTTGCAGAGATCCCATTCACATGCCACCAGCCTGTTTTCCTCTGGCAACATCCGGTGTGTATGCTGCATTGATCCAAGTGGCCATGTAATGCCCATAGGCACCCTGCACGATGGCAGCTATCCACCTGCCGGGGTCCCCAAACTCCCGTAGCCTCTTGGCCTCTTGGGCGAAACTAACACAAAAAAGTGTTTTTTCCTGTTTTCAAGGGTACCCTTTTCAGGGCTGGTTCAAAGGGGAACCAAATGGGAACCAACCATTTTTGAGGGCCCCCAAGAAAAGACACACCACAGACACACCCATACAGTCACCTGAATTGCTTCCAGCTACGGGCTCCAAGGAACTGCAAGCATGCGTGCGATCAAGGTTATCTTGGTTGGTCTTGGCCAGAATGTCCCATGTTCAGGCACCAAAACCTCCAAGCAACCTGAATGCACGGGTAAGTGACATATGCCGGCGCCCCCCCTATTCCATACACAGTGCAAACAAATTATGGAGTGAGATGTTCAAATATGTGATATGGCTTACACTGCATGTCACTGTTGAAAACTGTCTTAGTCTTTGCAGACCTCCCAATTTAACCTACACTTCCCAGTTGAGTTGTGGCTACCTCTGCTCATGCAATCCTAATTCAGCATGTTGCATGTGCTTTGCGCTTCCCACAAAAGCCCTGCATGCCACCCTACTCATACCCAGAGACGAACGTAGACAGGATCTTTCTGCCCCCCTTGCATCCCCAGTACCCACTTTCATTTGCTGACACTAGCTCAGCAAGTTCCGTTTTTACACTGGTGGTCTACAAGGAAACAATGACTTTCGAAGACACCATGTATCGGAACACACCGTGCCGGACCCAGCTGCAAATGGGATTTGCGTAGAACATTCCCTCAAGTGCGTTTGTCGGAAGGAAACCAGCATGAGATTCCCTTGCACCATTGAATGGTTCCCAAAGACTCCTGATTCATCCCCACAATATAACATGTATATATATATATATATGTGCGGCTGTCTAAACTCCTTGTATCCCGCAGTGGACACCGCCACTTTGAAACGCCCCAATCGCTTCCCGCATTTTTTTTGCGTTCCTGTTTTTCAGGGCATCGCTCTTACAAATTGTATGTTCAAATACGGGCATGTCTAGTGTTGCAATGGACCCATTGCCCAAATTACCCAAGTCAAACAACTTCCAAACATAATAATCTGCTTGGATTCCAAGCCAACCTGCGCCACTAAACTTCATTGGTCCCCCCTGTCTTCTTCATACACGACCAGCTTGCGCATCAATGCTGCAGGGCGCTGCTGCAGAGTGCTGTTGCAGAGCGCTGCTGCAGGGTGTTGTTGAGTATGCTGTTGAAGGGCGCTGTTGCACGGTGCTGCTGCAGGATGGTAAACCAAATCCAAGGGCTTTCCAACAAAGGCAAGTGTTGTTCAGCACCAAAATGGGCAAGTCGGCAACTTGAAGACCTTTGGGTATCGCTTCTGGCATCCTTTGATATGTTTTCATGGTGGTCTGGCTTCAAGCACAGCCATGCGCCACCTGGCACATCTAACCTAGCAACCAACAGCCGTCAAATGTTGATATGGGTTTGTGGTGTTGTGAGACACTTGCGAATATGGATGGTTTCTGCTTGGTTTTCCTCTGAACCTCCGCGCTCAAGTAGCGCAAGCAATATCCCCTTTGTGAAAGTTGATGCATCCAAGGGCAGGGCATCGCTCTTGGGATGCTGCCATCGCTTCCCCCAGCTTTCTTCACTTTTGGAAAGCGGATGTCCGCCGACTACATGTTCCAGATAACGCGATTTGGCGGTTGCTCATGTGGGTGTGTGTGTGTGTTTTATGGAGACGCCGCCCAAAAGAACAATTGTGGTTTTCTTGTTGGCTTCCTTCAAAACCACCAAACAAGGGGCACCCTTAAAAAAAGAACACGCGTCCGTATATTACGTCCGTGAAGAAATCTTGCAAACAAATAGAAAGGACAACTTGTCTCCGAACAGCTTTGAACTGTCCATTTCAGTCACAATCAAAACCCGGTATTAAAATGGTCTACCCAGAATCATGTAAACAATTACTGTAAGAAGGCGGACGCACCTATTTCTGGATTGAACTGCCCCTCACTGGGTTCTGATTATGGCTCAGTTTGAGCTGTCCACTTTTGGAGGGGTACCTTCCCCATTCTTCCAAGGATCCTTCTTTCTAGAAAACCTCCGGAAACCCAGTGAAAATAGCTGGTTCTTGAAAAGAACGATGGTTGAAGAGAATGGAAAGGAATCAACCCCTAGAAAACCAATACCCAAATTACACCAGGATGACCGTGAACCAAACCAGAAACCTAAGGTTCCGGAGGTTTTATGGAAAACTTTGGGGTTTTCCGATGCTTTCCAAGGTACCAATGTGGCACGCTGTTGGTGAGGCACTGCTCCCCGAAGCGATCCACGAAGCTGTCGCGAAGCTCCTCGTTGAAGGTGGGAGACACGCCTCGTCGTGTTTCTCAAAATCGGGGTTAACCCGCTAAATAGGCTGTTTCCTTCTGGCTTCCCCTTGAAACCATCCAGTATAATCAGAAAAAATACCTTTCTTTTTGTTTGTGGTGTAGACTACCACCCTGCATTTCCTTGTCTTTCGTTCCTAAACCTGTTTCAGACATTAGCAAACGATGGTCTTTTGGTTTCCCCTTCCATCCAGTAAAATCAGAGAAGGACTTCAAGTATGAGAAACACCCTTTGTACACTTCCAGGATCAGCTTGGCTGCTTGCAGACGCTCTTTTTGAACATCCAAACACACGACACAAAGGCATCCAAACACCAGTGTCCCCTATGAACGAGGGACTGGGTGGGGGGAGACTGTCCGACAAAACCAAAAAAAACGAGCGACTCGCCCCAGTCCAAGGAGCCCCAGCCAAGTCTCTCCTGCACCTCCGCACCCAGTTGCTTCAGTGACAGCTGGGAGGCCGGCGTGCTGAACCTCCACGTTTTCAGGGCAACACGCGAAAGGATGGTTGAATATGCAGGATGTGGGTCTGTCCTTCAATAGGGCGACCCACCCACCCCAAAAATGTGGTTTCCCTCTTCTACTTTTCTCTACACAAACTCAAAGAGGGGTACCCCCCCCCGTCCCAAAACAAACATAAAAATACAAAGGCGCCACACCCACATGCAGATCCCTGGTCCACAGAGGTGTCCCCAATTCAAGTTTCCCCTTCTGGAAAGGGAGATCGAGGAACCCAGTTTGTACAAACCTCCTGCAAAGCACATGGCGGGAATGAGATGCATGGTGTTCCTTGTAACATTGGGCCATACACAGTTCAAGACACTGTTTATGTACAACCCGAACCGGAGGAAGCTCTGCATGCATTCAACTGCATTTTGTCAGATGTGTCATGAGACTTGCAAGCACCGTGCTCAAGCAAAAACATGTCTCACCCAGAGGCAGGATTGCCAAACTACGGGGTGTGCAATCATGTTGCAACCAATGATCGTATGATAACACACACACACACACCACACAGGCGCAAGAGCACCACACACACACACACCTGCACCTACACAGCATCATTTGCTCAGGACAGTTCTGCATAGACATTTGGTTGTGACATGTTTGCGCTTGCAAAGGTAAAGCCATGTGTTCAAGAAGCCTTGCACAAGCCCTTGAAGCTCGGGACTCAGGGAATCCAGGCCATCCAGCACCCTGAAATCGAAGATGGGATCCCTTCAGTTGGGTATAAACACTACTCTGTAATTCCATTGTGAGTGTAGAGCCAGGTGCCACAAAACCGGAAAAAAAAAAAAAAAAAAAAAAAAAAAAACAACAACAACAACAACAACAACAAACTCTCTGAAACGCCCAGCTGCTAACACGAAAAGTGTGGTACTGAGAAAGTGACGAACAAGTTCTACAACCCTTGAGTCATTAAATGCCCCGCGTATCGGCTGAAAACCTGAGCAAATGCCAGTAGCCTTATGCACCACCAAAGCGACCAAGATCGTCCAATTGCCAAGCGATTGGCGCATTGCATTCGCCAAGCCGCATGGACACTCGCGCCCCTGATTCTGGCTCCAGCAGTTCCTGTGCAGAATGCAGGGCAGAATCTAATGGAGCTGCGCCTGAATGGCAATAAGCAATACAAGCTGACCGACCTGAAGGCAACCTTCCACTTTTTTAAGCCCTCTGGTCAAAAAGACATCCAGTAGTAATAGATTCCCTTGAAACCAACTCGGGAAAGTAACAAATATTCTTAAGCAAATGGAAGCAGCCATTCCAAACAAGGTGCTAGAAACACTACCAATGGATTTGACAGCTGCTGGTGGGGTTTCTGCAGACACTCAATCAGCCTTGTTGGCGCCATGAAACACATTTGGCCACAGGGAAATGAGATTGTACCTGCCATGTCCTGCGGTACACCTGCAATGACGGTGCGGTGACACGAGAAATCGATCACAATTTGTGTTGCTGGAGCCTTTTCGACAATTGGATGGCGCATTGAATTCCACAGTTCCTTGCCTTCAGCAAGACGCTATTTCAAAAACTTCTGTGGCTCTTTCATGTGCCCAAACAGTGCACTCCCCAGCACCATGCAAACAAGGATGAAATCTAGATTCACACGCCTGTGCATGATTCCTTGATAGCATTCTGAGAATGCAATCTGTCGCGCGTTTTAAAGATGGCTTGTGTTCGTGGCATTTGCCGCTGAAAATGTGAGCTGGTGCTGCCGATGTTTGTCATGCTCATGTTCTTTCCAATCCGAACTCCTGCAACACTCCCCATCAACTGCGAATTGAAACGAGATCCAGGCTTGGTTGCTCTGCTTCGTTCAACGAATGTGCCTAATATTGGATGCTTCATAAATCAATATGACCAAGTGGTAAGCCACGGTCAACTCAGCACCCAACTGCATTCAGGCTTTCCTCTACGGTTGTCCCCTAACCCAGAAACTTTGCGTGTATCAAGCGCGTTGCCATCTGACGCCTTAAACGGACCTATCTTCAACAACTTGCTAGAATCGCAACGACTAAGGCATGTGCTTTGAAGCTACATGACTCTCTTGGTTGCTGTATGGCCCCGTTGCTTGCCCGAAGCTTGTGTCAGGCTTCGAACGCGCCAGGCAGAAGGTCGCTGACATCCATGGTGGGGGTGTTGAGAACGATGAGGTTGGTCACAGCACCTTGGAAGACATGTTGCGTGGTTCAGGACGAATATTGGTGGATTCCACGAATTGTCTAGCACTCTTTTGGCACTCGCAAACGGGAATCCACAAGTGGCGTAGAGGGATGCGAACAATTGGAAGCTCAGTCTCTCAGAAGCATCGTAACAAGTCTCGGGTTTCTCCTGAAAAAGAACGTAACACATGCTTGCACACAATGTTCAGACCAAATGTTATATGGGGGTTGTTCAAAATAAAAGTTCCCGGAAACGGCCCTTTCGCCGGCCTTTCGCGGTCCTTTCGCGGCCCCATGATTTCCTTTCGCGGTGACAAACCAGTCCTGAAAAGCTCGTTTTCGAGCCACTTGAGCCACTTGAGACAAAAGCTGTCTCTCGTATTCGCCTCCGTATTCGTTATCTGTCAAGTCCTTTCGCGTTCCTTACGTCGGCCTTTCGCGGCCCCATGTTTTCCTTTCGCGCTAGACCTCCAGAACCTCCCTTACTTAATTTTAAGACTGGCAATTTAGAACGACTCCCATATGCTGCAAGATGACATTGGTTGGATACCGCGTTGCTCATGTACTGAGCAAGTTCTCGTCTCCGCTTCCGGCAGGTGGTACATGGCGTGCGACAATTAAATGCCCGTCCTAGTAACCTGAAAGTGGGGAATTAAATAACAATATTAACCTTCTATGGTGCAATTTGAGAATTCAAGCATTGAACTGATAGACGCAGGAAGCAAAATTGATATTCGCTCCACCAAGACGAAATACACCATAGTCTACGTCCATTGCTATGCCTACCAAGTGCCTCTACACTACTTCTGGCGCTTTTGAAGCCTTTGAAACATGTTGAATCAGACTCAGTAGCGCTTCAATGTTGGCGCAGTTGACAATGGCGCACTACAATTCCCTGCGACTCAGCACGCTCGTTGAGTGATGACGCCATTTCACGAGATTGGACAGTTGTTGACACTGCTGCTGGTGAACATGGTTGACAAAGGGGATCCACAGGTTTGCTTGTCAACATGTTGCCATGAGAGAAATATCACGTGTATCAATAAAATTGTCGCCAATAGTCAATAAGTGTAACTGACTGAATGCTAAGCCACACATCACCATACCCAGCCGAATCATTCGGCAATTGCAACAAAAAGGGCAACTGTCATGACGCCCTGAGCCAAATGGCATTAATTATAGCCCAACAGGTACCATGCAAGAACATGTTCCATATTGTCATCTAATTTGAAGTCGGACGAACCATGCCGCTCACTCAATGACAAGCGTCGTGACTCGTGGGTCAAGATAACGCCGTAGTCTGAAAGCTCCTTCAGCGTAAGCCTCAGGTGGCATGAGGGATTCAGATTGAGGCTTCTGCACCACTGCTTCTGTAAAACTAAACAGGCTTTGTCTTTGACCCCCTACAAAAGTTGAACTGTTGCTTGAAGATTCATTCATTGTTCAAACCGCGAACCGGTCAAGGGTCAAAGCAACAATGCAACATGACCACTTTCAGGCAAGCCCTCAGGGACCCGCATAGCTGGTGAGGCTTCGCCGACGTGGACAATCAGACTGCTGCACAGCTTGACGCTCTGAGGATTTCCCAAACCATCTGCGAAGCAATGACTTGGGAACAATAACTGCATGCACCTTGTCAATCTAAGTTTGGAAACTTTCATGTGCCTTCTCAATAGAGGGCTCACCGTCTGTTCTCGCAAAAACATTAAATAATCACTTCAAGGGCAACGCTGTGTGGCAAAAGCAGGGTTCTAATATGGAAGTCAGCAATACAAACTTACGATCAAATCTAAACAGCTGCCTGATATGTGTCAATATGTTTCATTTGTCAACCGTTGTCTGCCGATTAACCTTTAGACGCAGTTGCCTCATTGGTGTCCACTGATCGCAATCACAATGAGCCAAAGATGATTGAACGCTTCACAGCAAAAGCATCTCATTGAATTTAAAGCAGCAGCAACAGCAGCAGCAGCAGCAGCAGCAGCAGGGGCAGCAGCAGCAGGGGCAGCAGCACCAGTCGTCTCTCGCACTTTAAAACCGCTCTAAGTGAAGCTGGACATTCGCCAGGTTCTGGTGCTGATTCCACAGGTGCGAAATAGGAATCACCCCATTTGCTCTGTCGGTGAACGAGTAAGTCTCAACCGAACATGTCGCCGGATCTCTGACTTTGCCGAGCTTCGCAAGTGCCATCGTCCAGGTGTCGCACGAAGAACTGCACACCTCCGACACGGAGTGAATAAGCCTGTCTTTGGAAATACGAACACAAACAGCCACTGATTCAAATGTAAAGGCTCAGTAAAAGAGCATTATCACAACAAGGTGGATCAGGAGCAGCACAAAGCCACAGTCCTGCACTGCCTACCACTGCCCTTGTGTGCCCCAGAAGACCCGTCGCGAACGAAGATTTTGGCTGGACGCCGGGATCAGCAGGTGGCGGACAAAGTCAAACAATCGTACTGAGCTCAAAACATGCGGCACTCCGTCCACAAATTGATTCCTGCGCATCGAAACCTGACTTCTGACCATGGGTCTCATGTGTAAGAAGCGCTCGGGAGAATTCGACTAGCTCCTCGGTGCAAAAGGGACTAGCCGCACACGAACAAGTGTCGGTTTGCCTCAGATACCATTATAAAGGTGGGGTGGGGGGGGCAGATCTGTCCTGCCTGGTCAAGCAAAGCCAAATCGGCGGAGTATCAGGATCTGCCTCCACTATGCTGACGTGCACAGTGGCACATTAAGCAACGCGACTGTTAGTGGCATGTCAACAAAAGCTCTCAGTTGACAAAAGCTCTCAGCGCTTTTGAGGTATACGCAAACAGATTCAACCATCAACGGTATGAAGCAAGCGCGCGAATAGGTTGCCCGCAAGCCGCCTAACAAATGAAACCAATGGTAGCATTGGCAATTCTTGGAGGCATTCACCATATGCAGTCTGCTACATCAGAGCCTGATTAATTTCCAGAAGGCAACTAAGACTTCCGGAGGAAAGCACGAAGCCTCCGCAATGCATTTTGGGTTTGTCTTCAAATTGGGACTTCTTAGTGAGCCGAAACGCCCAAACAGAAGGTGCCTTCAAAGAAGACACT